TACCTGTACGAATTACGAAATTAAAGTACGATTATAGTTCCGGTCGAATAAGATCGCCGCATCAAACAATCAAAAGTAAATATTCGTTACGGCCATACGAGACGGGCACGACATGTTGCCTTGATCGATTTTTTCTGTCTCGTGCTCTTACCCGCCACGTTTTATTTTAGTGAGCGCATAGATCAGTCTTCTAGCACTTTGACGTATCTCCACGTTTTTCACTGTCCTAAGTTTGATTAAATGTTCGGAAAGTTTATACCTTTCCAGATACTCCCAAAGAGGCTGATACTTCTTAGTATTGACTTTAACGGCGACAACTTGATTCAGAACCCTCAACGCCTCTAACACAACTGAGTCATTGTCTTGATATTTGTCAAACATGCCAATCACAAGCGAAAGGACATTTCCGTCAAACAGTGCCTCTACCGGACATTCAGTTGAGGCGAGAGTCACGGATTGGGTTTTTTCCGAGCTGGTCGTTACAGATTCTGAGTGAAGCCGATCAGTCGTCATCGATGCTAAACTTGAGTCCATTACGGCCAGACGCCAGGTGTCATTTTTTGCCGCGATGATCGAAAGTACCCACCTGACTACAACAACGTCCGTATTTAGGTCACTACTTAGTAGCGTTCGTTCGAGAGCAGGAAGAACTCCACAGTCGAGCATGTCTTGTGAATGCGTTTCAACCAGCGAGTCAATAGCAATGAGCGCACACTTGATTACGTCGAGCTCATCAGAGTCCCTAAGAACGCTTACGAGCCGCTTCATTAGGTCGGAGTCCCTGAGCACTCCAGGGTCGTCGTCGGCCACCATATACACAACGTAACAAAGCGTCCAACAAGCTTGCGCCAACACCGAACTCGAGTTGCTTATCAGAAGCTGTTTGATAATGGTTACGCATTCGCTGATATCATCAGACCGACACGGAAAGGAGCGATAAAGAAGAGCACGGAGAAATGCAGCAACTGCCTCGAGGATTTTCTCCTGAGAGCAGGTGCTAGTTAAGTGTAGGTCCTCGGCACTGTCTTCATGTGGGGATCGTAACGGGAACTCGAACCGATTGAGAAGTGTATTCAAACCTGATATTATTCCTCGTTTGATGAGGTCTTCGCAAAGACGGAGATCAACGTCCAAGCGTTCGCTCATCGTCAGCAATTTCTCTAACAGCTCAGTCGAATTTATATCGGATGGCTGTGTAAGCGTGCCCAAGAGCGCACTTGCGGAAAACTGGTCATTCCACTGATAATTGTGAAACATGCTAACACCTTCCTGCTTCTGGCAAGAGAACGATGGCGGGGGCTCCACACAAGGTAGCATTCCCTTCCTGGGGTCATCTATTGCCGCTCTCTCAAAAAACTCCTCAGCCCACAATGGGCTAGCACTGTCTGACCTAACACTTTCGCCAGAGCTCCATGAATAGCAGAGTCTGGAACGCACAAATGATGAAAGTAACCAGTCCTCATCGCCGCTGTCTTCCGGGTTACTGATTTTAAGCTGGTGCTGAGTTTCGTCCCACCTACTGCTATTCGAGACATCATTGAAGTCATCGTTGCTGATATCGCTGCTGTTGTTATTATTGCTACAGCCGGCTTCGGCTTCCATGGCTAGACAGCCAATGTGATAAATCGCGTTTAATTGAACTTAATCAGGATGCTTAAAAACAAGGAAGCATACACATCTAGAAAACAAACGAGGACAGTTGTTTTGTTGCTGAAAATTCGCGGCGTGCACCACACTCACTACATCACAGCCATAGCTATACAAGCGTATGTATAGAGGTCAAATCAGAATTTATCAAGTTAACGGCGGTGGCTAAGATGTAGATGTTTCGCGGCTGCCAAGCATAGGTTTGCTATCGAACAGCTATAGCAATACATCTTTACCTTATAGCCACATGCTTCTTCGCTATCTGCAGGAAAATAGCGCTATAGATTGTCCTACCTATTCACACAAACCTGCCACAGTTGCCTACATTTTACTCTCGTTTCAAAGCATGGTAGGTTTTTTAGTGGTAATGTATGGTCGTCAGCGTTGACACACGTAACAGATTTGTTCACCTCGTGCGTACTGAGTAACCCACAAAGGACCGTAAGGCTTATAATGTGCAAACATGCTAGTTGAAAATAGTGCTTGTCGTTCATTGACGTATGCATTACCAATGACTCGATCCCTGCTACAAGCAACATGATTATTTACTCGAGAAACATGCCCGTCTTAAGTCAGCTCATTATATGATGTGGTATCATTCTTAGTTTGGATCAAATCTATTTGGCTGATATAGACAAGACCTTAAGGAAATTTCAGCGATGATACATTTAGAGGTACGCTTTCGTGCGCCGCGTCTACGGTGACGTCTGGCCTACAGTTTTGCTAACTAGGATGATCAACTCCGTCATTTGGACCAGTATATAACAGAGATGGGTCTTTGTCTAGCGATGCAGATCTACGTCACTTTTTTCAGAGCCAAGAGAAAATAAGAACGCCAAATAAGCAGTTACAGATGATTCAGAAGATGGGTATGCATCAAAGATGGATTGATCCTATATTATAGTGGAAGTCTGATGCTTTCGTTGATGTCACGTAGCATTTGTTAGGTTAAGATAAACATGCTAGTAGGATATCTAGTTGGCTGAAAAAAGGCCTAATTAAGAATAGTCAAATTTTCTTGCTTCAAAAGTTACATCAAAATTATTCACGCCCTATACATTTTTAACTTTTAGCTTTTATTTATTTATTTTTAAAGCTTTCGTAATTGTAAAAGGCAACAAAGTAAAACAGGCTGATCAACAATTTAAATATGCATATTCTGAAATTGTAGGTTAAATACACAGTTCTGGTTTTAGATTCCGCATCTAACGGCTCTTATTACCAAGGAGCGCTCATTTCTTTGTTAGTTTGTCTTACGCTGCACATTATATATGTTGCTGGTTATTTAGTTTGTTAGATCGCCTCTTATATATGCACTTCGAAGAAGCTGCGAGCAGTCTTGTGTGTATTATCGTATTTGGTCTAACTTTTAAGACGTCTACTTTGTTTTGAGGTATCTGTTGGCCTCACACAAAAATTTGTCGGAAGATAAGCATTCTTACTTGAGTCACCAGTTGAGGACAGCGCAATTGGGTCACTTAGGAACACTGCTTAGCTTGCATTGACCTGGACCCAGTCCTCAAATGCGAGCAAATTACATTCGTAAATGTCCATAATGTGTCCGAAGAAAGGATCTCTTAGGTGACTGAACGATGAAAGGCATTATAGCTGATATAATTTTGTGTCAGCAGGCCATCCAACAATAGTCAACATAGGTCCTATCGTTGACCAGTTACTCTATTGAAAAATAGTACGACTATTGTAAACCAGACAATGAAAATCATAGTCCCGCCCTTGACAAACACGCGCCTCCAATCTAGATTTGTACCCCTTGACATGACCGAGACAAAGTCAATCACGTACGATTATAACACTGTACATTCTGAGTACATGTTTCCTTGTCTTGAATCTGAATAATCTGAAGCGACTTGAATCTGTAATAATGTCTCCATATCTATTTCGTACGAACGAAGACAGATAGTCTAACACACCGACATTGGAGCAAAGAGATGCTTGAAACACTGAGCGCCGGGTTTCCAGTCACCTAAACCTTGGCAATTAAAGTAATTTGCGAACTTTGTTTTGGGGGTTTTTTTTTTTTGTCTTTAATTAAAGATGTCAAAGCGCGTAACAGCTACATCGAGTGAGCACTTTGACAGGAGACGCGCCTGTCGATATGCTTTAAATATGCCGACGTATCATTCAAATATCTATTTTTATAAAGATGCAATTGGAACAGGCGAAACTGTGGTGGTAACGCGTACCAACCACGTTGGTTCTCTGGTGTTCGATGGACGTCTGACGAGGATAACCGCAACTATCATAAGTAGCTATGTTTCAATTTTGCTCTGACAAAGTTAAGCCTCGTTGAAAAAAGTGTGAGTCCTGTACATGTATTGGTGCCCATTGATGTACTTTTAATGTAAATAGTTACGATGCGTGTGGGACAAGTCGTCTAGCGTTGCGATGATTTCTCGATACGAAGTCTTTAACATGGCCGTCCATGCAGATCTGGTCCGACCTCACAAGATCTAACTCTCGTTACTGGGGCCACAATAACCGTAGTTTTACCTTGTCAATTGATTTTCTTTTATACTTCAAGCAGCATAATAAATTTATTAACATTTGTCACTTATACGTTTTATAAAGTATGTGCTAAAGCTTAAGGACGCTTGACACTGCAGTGAACATACGAAGTTACCTAGATGCCTGCTCCATCCCACCGAACAGTAAATGTATAATTGATTTTATCTTATTTCGTGTGTATCGTACAGAATCTCGGACGTAATTTGCTAAAATCACTAAATGCTTTTTAACTCTTGTCAACATAAATAGGTTTGTTTTTTTTGTTTGTTTTCAGTTAATGCGAGAACAATGCCTATGCTAGATTAGGATTGTGATAGTAGTACGAATAGCGCGTCCCGAACTTCTGCGTCACTCCCATAAGTGACCACGTTTATACCGCCCAATTGGCGGTGTCAATAGGCCTTCTAACCGTTACAAGGCAGTAAAGTTTTAGCTAACTTTAAAGGAGGATTACAAACGAACACAAACGACAGATGTGTTTTCGAACTTTAAACCGACTGCGCATTGCGTTGACCTTGAGTATTGTTTCTTGCTTGTTTGATACAACGAATAGGGAAATATTAAGTAGCTGACTATTATGGCTGTTTTCGATTATCTAATCTATCGTATGCGTGCAATTCAAATACTCAGATTCTACTAGATATAGCTAAAATGGTGACAATTCTATTCCGCAGATATGGCGCACATATAAAAATGAGTACTTAAAGATCGCCTAGGTTTTGAGTCATTTCCGAAGAAAAAAAATAACAAGAGCTTAAGAAAGGACGCCACATTGAAAAATAGCTACATTGTAATGATCATTCTTCGAGGTCTTACTACATCGACACCTGTACCTGGCCTAACCTAGTCTTTGTCTCCTGATCTAGTAATTACAGGCTGGGCTATCTAATTTTAGCTGAGCTGTTTGATTGGCAGACCTCGCAAGACTCGGCAGTCTGGAAAAACACGAATACAGAGCGTCACAATAGGCATACCAGATCATCGGTTACACAGGCGCATTAACGTTACGAAGGTAATATTTGAGCTCTGTCCAAATTTCACGAGCTTAGCAAATATGGTTCACAATATTAATGTATGTTGTTCGGCGTTCTTGGCGTTACGTTCGATGTGAACGTTGCCATAACGTCTAAATGGCAAGTTTCGTTAACCTGATGCAGGCTCTACGTATAAAAAGGTTGGCGTCATGACGCAGCTATGTCTATAATACAAGAACCGGGGTCCTTTGAATTTTACGGCGCTCCTTGGCGTTAAGCGGTACAAATCGGAGGTTAGCTTGGTCCAAAAAAGCCCAAAGTAATACATTAATTGCTCTAACTCAGATCGAGATTTCTGTTTGTCAAAACGAAAGGCTGCTTATTTAGCACAAGGCTCAACAATTAGTTTCACGTGTTGAAATGATGAAAAGCCAAATATATATTTCAAAGATAATTTTTCTTGCTCATACAGACCATTGTTATTTAAAAATGAAGATTCTGCACCAAAACGTAGATCTTCATTAGTACGTGATTATCACAAATAGCATATGATTTGTTGTTTACAGACTGTAGACTTAATTAGGCTGTAGAGCTTTACTTTAGACTTTAATTAAACTTTAAAATGTATGTTGAAGCAAGCAATACGTAGACGTCCAATGAAAGCAAACTATAGAGATTCATCGTTCACCCTGACGGAGATAGAAACATCATATTAAAATACCAAAAACTCTATATACAGATAAATGCATATATCAGTCTCTATTCTGAATATTAAATTTTGACTTGCTTTCATTTAACGGAACGTAACTGTTTGTGTTACGGGCCGCCATTTTTGTGTTAAAACAATTACAACTGTAATGTTGATATTTATGTCGTCTGCTAAAGATTTCTATGTAGCAATCATTGATTTTCAGTCCGTCACCTATGTAATTTTCCAGTACATAATAATGGACAACAATTAACCTAATTATAATGATAAGTAAATTGCTTTTGTCTCTGCACGGCGAAACCGGCTTTACTTTACCAAGGTTTAGTGAGACTAACCAGGTATTATGAGCAAGCAAGTGACGTGTTGCTATATCCAGTTGATTCAGGCCCCAAATAGATCAAGATCTCAATTCATTTCGTGAAACAAGGATATTGTCTTTCTGTGCTCAGTAGGCCTTTGGTATATTATGGCGTACCCATTTGCTAGTGTATCGTTCATAGTGACGCTTTGAACTGTGTATTCCAATAGAAAGTATTCTAGAACGCACATGGCGAAACCAAGATGGAGCGATGTAATACTCCGCACGTGAAGTAGCGATTATCAGTTAAATGGATCTTTTTATTCCAGTACGTTTGCTTAAACGCAGTTGGACTGGGGCCAAGTTTGTCAATCCTTCCAGTCGTGTAGGATGAGAAAATTTGTCATACTTTTATATAATTCGTCAAAATAGTCCTAAAATTTCCAGCAGCTATTTACAGCTACTCTGACCATCGTCTGTCTCTGTGCATCCTTAATGCTGGCAATGTTTTTTCAATGTTTGCCTTCGTGTTAATATTTTGTTGCATAGTCGTTTGCTGATACCTAATCAATTATGATATTTTCGACCCTTTCGATCCTTTTCCTTACCAAAAATGAACCGGAACGGCAATGCTATTTCGCCTAGAATAGCTATAGGTGGGAACTATAGGTATAGTTCCCGAGAAGACTGCGCCCTAGAAATACATCGTTATTTAATTTTTTGTTCGAATGTAACCGTATAATCTGAAGGTATCTCAGATAATCTTTTTCTAAGGATACCCCTGTTAATCTAACTACTAGTAATGATTGACCTATATTTCGCATAAGCTTTACTGCAGGAATCAGGTGTCAGCGTTTATAGAAAAATCTGTTATCGTCGGGATCACTCAGTATGACTCGTCGTCAATCCTGGTCTACTTTTTTTTTTTTTTTTTTTATAGGGAAGATTCGGCGAAGCAATTTCCAGTGGCAAAATAAACTTCATGCGTCATAGAGCTGAGGCCATTGCTTTCTCTACCTTTGACGCTTCCAGGGCCGATATATTGCAGCATAGCATAATATCAACAACGTTCTCTCACCCAGGGCAAACGGCTGATGGATTTGCATCTACCTATGTGGTAATGCTCTGCAACTGCGAATATCAAACAGCTTTTCTACTAGTGGTATTATGTCAGCTGGCATTCCTCCAGGAACTATCCTGGGATCATTTTATCTTACCAACATTATTTTTGTTTCCGTCAATTCGATGATGACTCCCCCGATTGTAAGGCAATCTCCTAGATAGATAATGCGTTCCTTCAATTCTAGTTGGACAGCCGTAACAGAAGTAGTAATAGTCTATAGAACGTTATGAAGGTTTTTTCGCTTCAAGCAACGCTCAACTAATCTATCTCAAGCGAAACTCACTCATTTACTATAAGAGTAAAGTTGCACAGGATAATTCACCTTTGCCAGCAGTTATACTGAATCTATCGCTGCATAAATATCAGAAATATGAAGCTGTTGAAGTTCATTGACCAAAGTACGTGTGAGGTAAGAAAGACAGTTAGGTGCGTGTTGATCCAGTCCTAATAATGTTTCTCTACGTTTTGTGCCTCTGTATGTATATCGTATTTTCATGGATTTAAGGGCACACAAGAGAATCGCTGAGATGCTTCATGACGTTCCATATGATACCATTCAGTGTAAGCGTCACTTTCATCGGTTAAAGTTAAATTTTGGGCACTTGTTCTTAGCACCGAAAGTATTAAGCAGGAACAAACAAATTCAAATGGTTGTCTGGCAGCAGTCGATGCTATGGACTTATAATTTTACATGTTAGGACGATACATAATAGATCTAATCGTCCCTAAAGGTAAAACTATTTGGTCAGAAAGACGCAGCAGCAGCAATTGCATGAAACAACATTCCATTATAAATTAAAACAATTGGGCAACGAAAAATAGAAAAAAATAATCAGTTTAAACAACTTGGTTAAAGCCAAAGACTTCTATATAAAGCTGTAACTCAGCAGTAGCACAAGAGATGTTCAGGTTTTGAAGATGCCGAGGCAAATGACCTTCGTATAGTCCTCTGTTCTATAACAAGTGAAGCATAAGTTCCTAAATAGATAGGTAAAAAAAAAAATACTGGAAAATTCACCTATACCTTGAGGTGTTAGTTCTTTTCTACTTTGATGACATCCGCAGAAGCTCCTTTATAAAACAAGATGCCGAAGGCACTTTGGTCTTGCCAATTTGAGGGAGCGCCGTGGTTTAGGTATATAATGCGCATCTCTTTGAGAGCGTCACAATGGTAACTATCAAGTTGCGGCCATCGCTAGTTCAAATATCAGCATTGTCAAAAGGTTAACGTGACCTATCGTTAGCATGTCATTTCATAGCTTTGTTGGAAAAACCCTAGAGACGTCCAGCAGGACTCGCTTCGACTAGTCCTTTTAGTGAAACATGTCCTTGATTCTAGTACTTGACCGTATAATAAAGAAAACCAAAGGCGTTAAAAAGCTTTGGGTACTGCTAGTGCTCGAATCGTCCTCGAGACACAATTTTGCAACGCCTGATGTATACAACTTCAATAATTTATATGTTACCCACATCGGCACCTGTAACATATATACAGATTATGTAAAAATATTAGGCAAAAAACACAATACCGGCTTGCCACTGCAAGTTCTTAAGAGTGGACTAAGAGATTAAATCGTTTGAAACCGTCGACTAGAATATATGATGTTCTACACTTCAAGCACGAAGATACCAGTCGCACATATTCCATTAGCAGATTGAACCTACCGTAAAAACGATACAAACCCTCCACAATTATGCGATTGCCAGGACACAGTTTCTTTAAAACACACAAAATATAGAACACATATACTATTCCGTCCAACGCACCGCTCCACTCTCGCTGAATCTCATACTTGTTCTAAAAGTATATACCAAGCTCCTCCAAGATAACCTCGACTGTATATACCAAGCTCTTTAAGTGCGTTAGTGACTTATGACCAGCATAGCATCGTTAGAATGTTTAGGCTTAGAAAAGTAGATGATGAAGTGGACTTGAGAAAGGTAAAAACGCATACCCAAAACACGCTATCCTATAATATACGTGAAAAAATTTAATTAGAAATACAATTACCTAATAGGCATCTGAGCGTATCAACAAGCATCACACAAATCTGAATACATGTTTTACGTTACTGGGTCAACTATGAGGTCTCACAGCAACGTATTATCGAAATTCGTTTCTGAAGACGGCATATAAATGACCGATATCTATAGAGTCTCTCGTGCGAAGCGCAATGATTTATGATGTAATATATCAGAACAACACGCTTGCCGTATACATACGCCCATGTTCGTTACAAAAGGTTAACGTAAACCCATCAGTATGTTTTTAGGCTGGCAGTTGGAGACAAATAGTGGCAATTCTGTCTCTGCTCGGAACCTTGTAACATAGGCTTTAAGACTTCAGATATTAGTAGAGAATTCCAGAAATCATCTGCTTTGCGACTACATTACTAGTTATAGTAACAAACCGTCCTTTAATTATGCGATATAGTCAAACGCTGTCATATCTTTGCTCAAAGAATGAACTGCTCTGCACCCTCTAAACTATGGAGTTCTTACGGAACGCGCTCGGGCAGTCTGAGTCACCCAGCGCATGTAGTGACCCACGTATGCGACTGATGCGTTTGCTCTGCGTTACTTAGACGGGTATCGTCCACCTGATTTAATGTCATTTATCAAAAGGCAAACGCGAAACTTTTTCGTTTATTGGGTTTAGCGGCGGTTCTCAATATCGCACAAGGTCGGTGGTTCCTAAGGACGGTCTCTAAAAATCGGTGATTTAGGTAAATGAAAATATTTAGTAGTGTCAATGCCTAGTGCTTCATTTTTTTATTCTCTATCGAAGGAGGCACCATTATCATTTCTGGTCTTCCTATATGTTAGTGATAATTTAGTTATTTCGTAGTTGTAGACAGTGTACGACTTAAAAAGTATCGAAAGATAATTATTAGTGCTTAAACAATTTTTATATTAAATTATTAGGATTTTGAAAAAGGTAGTGAGCTAGCTACAAGGATATAGAATGCAAGCAATGTTTCGCAAGCATTGTGGATTTATGTTTGTAAGTCGCTTATATTTGCGATCGTGGCCCTTGCGGTGTTTGGTCGGACCGAATCGTATAATAGGACTAGTTGATTTCTGTTCGCTAATTATGACTTTTTTCGTCGTAATCGACGAACTAGAACTTATGTAGCAGTACTGGATAAGACCTGCATTAGGTCATCAAAGATCATCATCTTTTGCAGCGTGATGTTTGCCGCCAGTTCAGCTGTATTCACCCGTCTACGATCTTTTGTACAACATGCATTTTTCATTGTAAGTTACAATCAGTTCAAGAATAGGGCAATGCTGATTTTCACTCAAATGATTTGTCCTATCTTATTCATATAAGTGGCAAAGTTAAAAGATCATGCTAACTGATGGGGTGTATGACGAACGATGTCATCTTCTATATGTTGCGGCCGAAATGAGTACGCAAGAATAAAATCGAAAACAAGATATTATGGCATAATCTGGGAGAAGCAACAAAGCTGAGTGCTAGGCCGATGATTGGGTAGTTTTTAACGTCGAATGGAACATAAAATGAAGCGTAAGAAAAACTCGGGCCCAAATACGGATAAGTAGGGACTACATTTTGCTGAAGAAAACTGATATCGAAATGATGTGTCACATAACCTCAGCTCATGGGTTTGTAGAGTTCACAAAACCTAAATGTAGCACTTTATATCAAAAACTGATTAGAAAGCTGGCCTAGACATGTGTTAGTGCGAAAGCCTGCTAGTAGTAGTACTAGTAGAAGCAGGCTTCAACATCACAAACTACCAGACGTAGAAAAACATTCAAGTGTGTTGAAGATATTTTTAGACCGATACAATACATTTGATACCAAGTTGGGGCCTGTAATGATATACCTCAAAGAATCTTTGCTTTTATGGCTCAAAACAGTGCCAAAGAACTTTCACCCGCTTTAAGTCCAAATATATCTTAGTGACTTTATCTAGGTAGCACCTTCCAACAGCCCCACTATATAATAAATATTGTTTTTTGTCAGTGTGAGTTTTATTGATTTATTTGTTGTTTTTCTTATTGATGTATGTGTCTATTTCCGTGGCAAATAATATTACCTGGAATCGAATATGTTATAGAATGCCATGTGCTGCTGCTATCGCTGCACTGCCTTTTTGAGATAATGCAATTTGTAATATGGTATTTTCAGCTGTATGTTATGCCTCAAGCATAAAAAAATAATTCGTATTAGTGGAGCATATATTTTATTGGATTTATTTTTTATGGATTTATGGATTTATTAAAAAAAAAGCGCGTTCTCGCTGGAAAGTTCAAAGAGAAGTTTGTAAGTGCACATTGAAGAAAAGCCATATCCGTCAATATCAGAACATGGAAATCCTATTTCTGCTTCTAACATAAATTTTACCTGAAGGCTTAACACGAAGTTAAAGAACATCAAATAAAATAAAGTGTGTTTTACATAAAGTAATACCGTCCCGACCAGAAGCTAAATATAAGTAAATAGAAACATATATGTTCACTAAACAAACACATTTTTAGAAATTCCTATCTATAACGTTGCAATGGGGATACTCAAATCTTCAAATCAAAATTTATTTTCACTCTATTCGATATTAACGTACTTTTTTCACTATCGAACTCCTAAGGAATATTTTACAAAAAATGTTTTTTTTTTTCAGTTTTTCAACAAAAACCACTGACGAAAATTTGAAGAGCTATATTCGAATGCATAAACCCCTTGTTTTCGTATGTGTATGTGAGCTCACGCCTATCTGTTCATATCGATTAACACGCGGTTAGTTTTACTTGAAATTTGTTATGAAAGATGATGTCTCAACATTTCTTCATCATCATCATCTGAGAATCATCGCCTGAATAATCTCTGATATTTAAAGCTGATCTCCTCATATGTCCGATTTTTCGTCCGTCCTCGTATTGAGTATCTGCGATTTGTGTCTTTTTAATTTAGACCGCTTTTCGCTCTGCTGCCACCTCAAGCCGAAAACCGGTTAGTTATCAAAAGCTCACCTCTTGATCATTGTTCCGTCAGTGACAAATCATGCTCTGGACGATATCTCTGGCGCCGCTAAAAGTGCGCTCACGATCCCAAGTCTATATCAACGCTCGGTCAGCTTAAAAGGGTAGGAGACCTACTCTTTCTGATTACAATAGCCGCATTTTTTCGGCCTATTCAATAGATGTGCTGTGGCCCATTGCAGTGGTGATGATACGATACGTTCCACTGAAGTAATTCGTGGAAAACGACCCTCTAAACCAGAGTCGCCATAAACATGAGGTTAGCAGGCAAACGCTACAAGCAAAAGGTCGCAAATCTTCATGGATGACTTCTTACGGTCACCGTTCGAGTTGATAGTACGAGTACAGATTAACTTTTCGCTATCAACTTTTCATCACTCAGACTAACAAGAGATAATAAAAGTTTCAGTTAAATAGAAACTAAAAATTGACCAAATTAAAATGCAGCGATCGTACGTTCAACAACGGCTAAGCTACAGAAAATTGAAAAAATTATCCTACACAAGTGTAAGTGGCTTTTAGTCATAGAGGATCTGGTCAGTCCGATAAGTGAAAACCAGTATATAGTTGTTACGTTTCTCACAATTTAATTGTTCGGGCTATTTTATTTAGAGCTTGATACATAAGTCAATCTGACGTAGCAGCAAAGGTTGCTTACTAAAACTACTTAACTGGAAGCATTTTTAATGAGTTTAAATCACTCGAATTGATCTAATTGTGTATGAAATACCTAGTCTTTCGATAGCAATTAAATGAATAAAATATAAATAAAATTAAAATTTGTAGTTAGCTAGATATGACTATAATGACTAAGATGTATCGTAAGGTGTATATATATATACAGGGTAAGTCATTTAAGTCCAGACAAGGCTACTTGCCATAACATGCGTCCGGTCACTCGCTATTTTCAGCATCAGATGAACCCCAAAGTTCTTTCTCAAATAGATTAATTAACTTGTCGTGGTGAAAAATACAGCATCGTTTACACAGTCGAGACCAGTTATTATTTTGATTATTACTAATATGTTTACGCGGGACGGGTTCCCCATTGAAAACCTAGACTTCTTTTTTTTCTTTGAAATCGACGGCCTTTATTATTACTAGTTATCGTGGGTTCTGAAAAATTGAGGAAAATTTCCAGGTGGCAAAACGGTAAATTTTCGATAGAATCTAGATTTATAGGACTCGAAAATTGATGAAACCGGCCCAAAACGCTATACAGTTGATACATCTAAATGTTTCATAGACTGCCATCTTCACGTGCAGAATATTAATTGCTCATTTCTCGGGTAGGCACCAACGATTAGTTCTTTTTGAGACTTTTGCACCTTTTGTACTAAGTAGTCGTTGTGTACCTTCGCATTTTTGGGTTTCTTGGCCTCTTTTCAGCTCCAAATTTAATTCCGTTACAATCTTTTTTTTTAGGCTAATTTAGATTTACGGATATTGGTTAACGCACGCTTACTATTTAAAAGTTATTAACATATTAAAATGGAATATTTTGGAATTAACTAGTAGTTAATGCCTTGTATTGAAGATGGCGCATTCAAAGAATCTTGATTAAATATCCAATGTTTTCGAGCTTTTTTGGCAAACATAATTCACTAATTTCTATAGAAGTATGCACCATTTTTATCTATCACATTTTATCGTTTGGATGATAACTTTTATTCGACTGTTATCGATGTGAGGAGAACAAGATCTTTATGAAGATTTTTGTGAGCCTTTTTAAGATTCTTTTTTTTTTTTGAGTTAATTTTGATGTTATGTTGGGATTTGAACAAATTTTCCACTGAAAATATTTTGAAGTCGTTAATACGCAATCATTAATTTACTTTAAAATGGTATCTCTCCTGTTTAGTGGCATTTATTGTAGGTCTGCAAGGTCTGTAGGTAGAAAATCTAATTTTTACTACAAGTCATAATTCGATGCAAAAATAAGTCATTGTTGCAACACAGGAGCAAAGGGAAGCAAGCGTCTTAATGACTGAACCGAGATGAACCAAATGTGGCATTTTTACATACATATATTAAACGCAGAAAGTATATATATATATACACCTCTATTCAGTTTTCAATGTGACAGCATGGTCTAGTACAGACGATAAACATATCCTCATCTGAGCGATATACCCTCATAAAATGCATCAAAAATAAAATATGCGAACCAAACGCTTATTTTTCAGTTATTCAACTACGCATTAGATTATCTCTTTCATCGTTGTCCTCTAACTAAATAAGTACGCTGTCGTTGCTAAAACATTACTTTAACGAACTTCTGATTTCGTTAGCGCTAACAGTTACCACCATCTTGTAAGTTGTGTCTTCATAGCCAACGAAACCTCAACGATGAAGGCGTCAAAGCAATAGTCGACTGAAGACTTTTACCCAGTTAAACCCAGTTTCTCTGCAGAATCTTAAATCGCTGCTGGCGAATGTCGAAGTTATGGATCAGTTCAGGTAATCGCGGTGGCGTTTGTAGGTGCAAAATGGGCCAAGGGTGTCAGGTTTTAGCGTAAGGTCCACCCCGCTAATCAGCGGCATTTCAGAAAAGATCTGTTCATCGCCCGCTGACATTTTCAGCCCTTATTACGCGTAACCCTAATTGGCCTAAACTGACCTGGCAAGGGCCGTCCAGGCGTTAGATGGCTAGATAAACGCGTCTTCAATCAGCACGATTCCAAATCTTAAGGACTCGAACAAACCGGCAAATGTGAAGTTAGGAAGTTTCAGGAAGCATATTTTCGTTGAAGCTTTTATCCATGATACGCTATACGGGCGTAACTCACTTAGCCTTTAAGCTTTATACAACATGTCTGGGAGCACTTAGAGCCCAGGGCGCCGCAAAAGATCTGAACTGGATCTTCCAATGGGATGATAAATGTGACCATAAGAAAAGGTAAATTAATTTTACGTGAGTCCAGACAAAACGTTGGGTTGACCAATTTCTCCCAATAGATATTTTCAAGCTACCAAAGACCACTGAATACACGAACATTTATAATAGATTTTTAGCCCAGTATAAAGGCATTTTTTTCAACTGTTAAAATACTGCCTGATCCGCTGAAAAATTTGCCAAGAGTCCCTGATTTCTCCTGACTTCAACAGCCGCCTATAGTAGTTACTAAAAATACCCATAACGCAGTAACATTTTTCGATGACACTTTAAAAAAGCAATTAGATGACTCAAAAAACGTAAATAATTTTCAGACATCAGCATATGATACGAGCTTATAAAGGTCCTTTCATATGGTAATAGTATCAGCTTTGACTGAATGTAGCAAGAATTAAGCAAAGACAGTGGTGAAATGGTTGAAATATGTAGAAATGATTGTCTCAAGGTTGACACTTAATGGTCCATAAATGAGAGCAGGAAAGAAACGGATGCGTTCATCGATGTAATTTTATCAATATTTAATATTAATAATAATAAAAATCTTAAGTAGCTGCTGAGCAGATAGAAGCTTAACTTTGTTTGTGTATATTTGACAAGATATATATACTTATTTTATAAAACGATCACACGTTTTCGTTTGGGCCGTTTTGAGACGATGCCACCATTCCCCTAAGGAGCGTCTACTTATAAGCGGTAACAAACTCCTATAGCGCAGTATACAGGAAGTTGATTCCATTTGAATCTTCCGTATTTTTTTGAGCATCATTGTTTAGTTACAATATGATTATCTAATTGTGCTTTAGGTTAATGTTCACATGTTTCTGTCTTCGCTTGTCTGTCTGGTTGGGAGTCGTTGATTGCTATAAGATTGCTAAAGTCTTGTTGTCAAACTGCTAGCCTCCGCCCCCCAAAGGGTCGTTATCACTAGCGCCTGTTTTCAAATAGATATCTCTAGCGATCGTAGTCGTGAGGTGACCAAATCGTGACCTTGAGCTTGTAGCCCTAATGAACGCCTTCCTTACTAAACCTTCTTTAGTATAGTACACATGCTCTCGATCGCGTTCCTTTTCAGGTTTCGGAGCCATCATCTCTCATATATGTATATATGCATATCAGCACGAGCCATACATCTAACTTGTAAAAATAAGACAGTTCCGTACAGACACTCAACAAGGATGATATCTCCGATGCTACAGTGACTACTACTTCAACTAGTTTAAATTGAGTAACAAGCCGTTAGCTCGTTCAGATAGGGTCAGGACATTTGAAATTGCGGCCACGAAACTCATTCACTATTCTACCCTGTTCTACGGCGGTAAATTTCAAACATTTTCTTGCTTTAGCCGGTTCCGACGTCAGTCAAATTCGCACCCACCGTCGGCCGCCCTCCTTCTGATAGTAATATTAGCGTTACAGTTACGGTAACGTAAATGCGATTCAAGGAGATAAGCTGTTCGCCTTCGCTTACTGAGTGCTTCAGTCGTTATTATTTTCGTAGAAATTTACAACAAGAAAATAACATAGAGCACCCATAGTATCGAACCGTGAATTGTTCAGTGTCTTGAAAAGCCTATTCCACGACGTATCGTTCCGTTGAAGTATCACAGATACAGCATAATACCAATGACCGCCATGTTGGATTGGTTTTATATCAGGTGTGGAGGTGCAGGTTACGATTAAGAGGCAATTGTCTATGGAGCATAACGGTTTTGTCGCAGTGATGCGAGAAGCCTATAACGGGCTCGTTTTAGCCTAATTATTGTAGTTCACAAACCAGCTTCAAAGGGAAAAGGGAGAGAGACATAAAAATACGAAATTTTCGTGCGCGTCAATGAAGTTATTTTTGACTCTGCTAACGGATGATGTGCTATCTAATCCACATGCTTGTTATCTCTAACACTTTGCCTTTGGACGTGGGCTATTATCAATAGATTATATAAAATTCAATTGTATGTGATGTATATATACGTATATAGTGATATAATTGCGCTATCCGGCTTACAGCGATCTAACTCTAACAGCTAAGAAGTTATCGAGCTGTTTATTAGGGCAAAATATCGGTTGATATAGATTTCAGCACCTACATTTTTTAGTCGTATTCAATGCATCAACATTAAGAAGCAGACAATTAGGATAAATTCCTAGCGATGTGTCCCAGAACAATTTCGAATACGCAAATTGACAAACTAGATAAACCCTCTGTATCAGGTAGGATATAAATCATAGAAATTATTATAGTGGGTGTCTAATTGTTACATAATCTACTAACTAGAATTATTCGACGCATAAGCCACCGTCAAATTCAATAACTTAGTAATAAGCTAGGCTTAAATGTCAAGATTTTTTTCAATCTGCATTACGAGACAAGACTGGGGAGTATGCATCATTGAATCTTCGTTGGTTTCAGTGCTGACAACTCGTGGTCGAGATATCTCTGCAACTTATTTTTTTTAGGCCC